GCCAAGCTGGCAAATTGGCATCTCTTGTGGTAGTTCTGGAGACTATTTTTCCTGGTTGCATGGAAGCTATTATAACTCCTAGAGCAGTGGTTCTCAGCCTTTCTAATGCTTCCTAATGCCATGACCCTTTAATACAGTTCCTCATGTTGTGTTGACTCCCCAACCATAAAATTATTTTTGTTGCTACTTCATAACTATAATTTTGCTACTGTTATGAGTCGTAATGTAAATATCTGATATGCAGGATGTGTTTTCATTGTTACAAAGGGGTCGCGACCCACAGGTTGAGAACCACTGTCCTAGAGGTTCAAGTGGTACTAAACCTTGGACTCTGTTTAAATCTTCAAATTTCAAGAAAGCTCTAGCATACTGTTTCCCAAATAACATCCCCTATGACTTAAATAGTTTTACCATATTGATATATTATTTGCTCTATATTTATTTAGCATGTTTCTTTAAAAGAATAAAAATTCTTACCCAAATTAATAATATATCATTAACACCATGGTTTTGATATATCATGATAATAATATATTTTTTCTGATATACATCAAATCAACTTTATAACAGATGTTAAAATGTTTATCTATGTATCACCTAGAATACCCAGTGGTACCCATATAATATTTAAGGAAGACTGCTCTAGAAGGATAAGACTGTGAGTCTCAGAGGTCCAAAAGTGTTTGAGGATTAGGGAATGGTATAGGGTGGAAGAAATTTGGGATAAGTTACTATCTCAGTCTGCAGCATCTATTAGATTCATGGTGACTTCATAGTCTCTTTCAAGAAAAATGAGTGGGACACTTATTTATGTAAAGAGCCCATTATGGTACATTTCCTAAACAAAGTGGTATGGAAGAGGGTGCAATGAAAATCCTTCTCACATATTGTCATTTATTTAGCAGCATTTATGGAGTGCCTACTAAGTGTTGGACACTTATCAAGCACTAATAATAGCACTTTCAATATGTGTGAAAGAGGTGAACCAGACTATAAAGAGCCTTGGATTTTATCCAGTAGGAGTTGAGACCCACTGAAGGATTTCAGAGCACCAAATACACATTTGTGTATTAGATGTATAAGTGATGAACCCTTAGACTTCACCACATTATCACTCTAAGATAAGGTCCATTCCCTTATCCAGTTTCTCTCCTGAAGCAATTTCTGAGGTTCTATGAAGTCATCCTAGTGATTGTTTAACCTCTTTGCCAGTCTTCCATAGCCCAAACAGCCACGATTCCAGAGGTGCCAGGTCATATTATGACATCCTTTAACTGGCTTTTTTAGGCCTCTCTACCTCTGCTTCACCTATTTGCTACCCCACCCCACCTCTACCACTGCTCCCCTTTTTACTCCTCATATACTATGTAACTACACATTGCTAAAATCCACCCATGGTATTAAACAAAACTTCACAGATATGGAGGAAAAGTGATGAGAAGAGAGTGATTCACTGTGCTTTAAAGGGGCTACACTTAAGCTCAGCTTCAAACCCAACCTCACTCCTTCATACTTTCCAGAATTCATCCAGAACATTACCCATTCTTGGGAATCTCTAGGCCTATCTGCCTAGGATCCCAATGCCCTTGGGGCCAAGGAAGGGGAAGTGGGTCTCCCCTTTTCCAAAACCCATTTATTTTTCAGCTCCAGAATAAACAAGTACAAACATCTATTTCCTAGAAAGGAAGCTCCACCTACAAAGTCTGGTTTAAACTTTATAAGCAAGTAAGGGAAACATAATATAGTTAATAGTATATTCAGTCAAGTTGGAGTTAAATCTTAAGTGATACCATATGTAGGATATCAATAGTTCATCTTAATCAATATTTAAGGGAAAGAATTTCTCTACAATCTAATCTAGGTTAGAATTTCTCTAATTTCGCAAGGGCATGATTCTGTTAAGGATACATTCAATTTACTTTCTAAACAGAACACTTACTATCTCAGTCTGTAGCACCTTTTAGATTCATGATGACTTTATAGTTTCTCTCAAGAAAAATGAGTGGATACTTATTTATCTAAAGAGCCAATTATGGTACATTTCCTAAACAAAGGCAGTCTACTGAGAAGTTGAACCAATGTCACCATTTCAAGCAAAAGAGACAGCAAGCAACCTCCTCTTCCCCAATAATGTTTCATGTTCACCAGGCATCCAAATAAAGATTACATAGAGGGCGGTGACTATATACACCCAGGTTTGATGGTTTAAACCCAGCCTGGGGGCAGCTAAACAACAATGACAATTGCAACAACAACAACAACAAAATAGTGGAGCATTGTGGTGGGCACCCATAGTCCCAGCTACTAGGGAGGCTTAGGCAAGAAAATCACTTAAGCCGGAGAGTTTGAGGTTGCTGTGAGCTGTGACACCATGGCACTCCACCAAGAGTGACAAAGTGAGATTGTGTCTCAAAAAAAAAAAAAAATTATATAGAGAACAGTTTGCATGGGAATGGGGCCTACGAAGACTTCTTAGGAAGCTGTCTGAGAGGCAGATAATAGGACCTGAACTAGATGACAGCAGTAGGAGTATGAGAGTAGATTCAGGGATATTTATAGGCTATATATAATGTATCCAAACAATGGGGGAGGATGGGAGCAAGGAGATCCCACAATGGAAGCTTCCAAAGAACAAACAGGGGGCTTGGTGCATGTAGTTCAGTGGTTAGGGCGCTGGCCCCATGCACTGGGGCTGGTGGGTTCAAACCCCGCCCTGGCCTGTTAAACAACAATGACAACAACACCAATTAAACAGCCGGGCATTGTGGCAGGCGCCCGTAGTCCCAGCTACTCGGGAGACTCAGGCCAAGAGAATTGCTTAAGCCCAAGAGTTTGAGGTTGTTGTGAGCTGTGATGCCATAGCACTTTACCGGAGGGTGACAATGTGAGACTCTGTCTAAAAACAAAAACAAAAAACAAACCAAAAAACGCCCAAAGAACAGAGGTTGCTAGACTGGACAAAGTGATGCAATGGCAGAAAAAGTTTCTTAGTCACACTCTCAGACAAGAGAACAGAAAATCAGTGTATGTTTTGAGAAAAGGCTAAGAGGAACGTGAATATACGAGTGAACGCACATTAAGTGCCAGTGTGGTTTCAGAAGGAATCATTAGACAGGGGTGAGATTATACAAGGAAGCTTCCAAACTGGCAGTGTGTTTCAACTGTGTTTTGATGAAGGGAAACAATACAAGATAATAGAGAAGGTGCTGAGAGTCAAGACCAGCTTTCTGGTCTCCTCAAGTGGGTCTGTTTCATACCTTCCATTAAGTATCGTTCTAGTACTTAAGAAAACCCACATCCACCCAAGTGTCCTGTGCTTTGTCCTAGTCTCCAAGAAGTCAAGGAGTGAAACGCCGATTTCCAAGGTGATCTGGGAACCACTAACCCTTTCATCGCTCCTAAAAGAGAAGCCTACCAGAATCGCGCCTGGGGAAAGTGACTTCCGCCATGGAAGGGCTCAACAGTGGATCATCAAAAATGCCATTGTCACTCAGTGAACACAATCCCTTCAAGCCTACCCCCTCGCTCGCCAGAGACTAGGGCCTGCAGAAGCCTCCACCCAAATAAAACCATATTCCTGCCGCAGCAGGCGTGCGCTGCTAGGTCGCGACTAGCGTGTGGCCAGCCATCCCGCCGGGGCAGCGTCTGGCCCCGCCTCCGTCCGGGTTGGGGAGCGAAGAGAGGGCGTGACTACGTCCTTGGGGGGCTGGGGCGGCCGCCAAGGCCGGGGAGGGCGGGCCTTGGCCCCGAGTGACGGCGCGGCGACCCAATAGGCGCGAGGGCATGGGGCCGACCTTCCTGCAGTCTCTTCCGCTAGCCGGCTGCGGCGCCTGGGACGGTTGCGCTGTGTCTGGGCGCTGGGAAGTCGTCCAAGATGATTAAAAAATTCGACAAGAAGGACGAGGAGTCTGGTACGCGCGGGGCTTCTGAGGCCCACCCTCAGTCGCGGGGGCCCTTTCCCCCTCCCGCCGCCACCTGCTTTCTGGGACGGCGGGGCTGGGGGCGTGGGCGCCGGGGGCCGGAGTTGGAGCCGGTCCCTCCCCTTCCCTCCACTCCGGCCGGGGGCCAGTCCATAGCCCCTCCCCCCGGCTCCGGAGCCTCCCCTAGGGCTGCGCGCTCCGGTCCCGGCGCCCGCGCGCGGCCTCGGCCAGCTGGGCGGCCCCGCCCCCGTCTCAGTCTCCCCACTGCCCACTTCCCTCTCCCCGGCGCTGCCCTACCTAGCCGCCTCCGTCGCTCTCGGCTGGCCCCGGGCTAGGGGAGTAGTGCGTACGAGCGTCTCAGCGGCGCCGGGTGATGGTAGGGTTAGGTCCAGAGTGGGTCTGGGGTCAACGGGACAGTGTGTGTGTCTATGAACTTTGAGGTGCCTTACAGTCTTCCTGGGGACCTTGGCTTGGTCCGGCTCCCTGGGAGCAAGTCTGTTTCGTGGGACACAGCGGGTTGAATGCTCAGGCAAATGGGGAAGATGCCAAGCCTCCTCAAAAAAAAATTCGCAGTGTTTAATAGAGGGTTGGGTCTTCCAGCTTCAGGTCTCCGTGACTCTCCGTAAAACCTTTCTGCCTCAGTAAATGTTAGAAACACATAAATTAGTGCTCATCTTTAGGGAAATCAAAAGTGCCCTGTCACAATCTCATTAATCCTGCTTGTGGAAATGACATTTTTAACATTCATGGAGAAAGAGGGCAGGGAAAGAAGATTCTTTTTGGACAGAGTTCCTAGAAAAGCCAAGTCCAAGCTCTTACAGTAAGGCAATGACAGAGAGCTAGTATCAGAATCACATTTTTTTTTTCATTCACTTCATATGCATGTTAGTAATGATTGTCACTGTGATGATATTCAAGCAGTCATTTCACTTAGGTGAGATTTCCCAAGCATTCGGTACCCTCTTCTAGAAGGTATTATATATATAAGTTTGGGTAGGACAGCTATTAAAGACATGTGTTTATTTTATAATATAGGTAGTGGCTCCAATCCTTTCCAGCATCTGGAGAAGAGTGCTGTCTTACAGGAGGTATGACTTGGAAGTATATAGTGTTCCTTCTTTTCTATTCTGTTTTAGAATGGTGGGCAAAGAACCCCTGGGATACTGTGATCAGGACATCCAAAATAAGGAATCTAACAGTTCAATGGGAAAGTTTTGAGAGGGCTGCCTGTCACAGAAGACTCTAGAACTGAGAGAAATGCAAAGACATGCAGCCTGGCCCGTGTTGGGAATTTTAAATAAAATGTCAGAAGAGGTTTAGTGCAAGGTTATTGAAATAAATTATAGACATTAAGCTCATTGTATTCATGTGATATCACATGATACATGATAAGTGATTACAGTTTAACAGATAAAGCCCATAAAGTTGAAGTAGTTGACCTAAGGGAATGAGTTAGAAAGTATAGAATGGAAAAATCAAGGCCACATCTGTCATGTACAATAGTAAATTGAGAACTGTCAATGACTAGCATTATTGGGATATTGTGATTAAAAACAGTCTGTATTACAGCTGATTACACTGATTAGCTGTAATCTGTGCTAGAAAAGGCAGAAAATACCCTATTATATATAATGATGTTTTTATGTTTCTGTAGGCTCGTATATTCAATGAAACTCCCATCAATCCAAGAAGATGTTTGCATATTCTTACAAAGATTCTTTACTTACTGAACCAGGTAAATTATTTTGATTTTCCTCAGATTTATGTCCTGAATAAAAATTCGTAACATGCAATGAAGTACTTTCTGGAAAGTATAGTTTATTATTTTATTATTATTATTTTTTTGAGACAGAGTCTCATCTGTCGCCTTAGGTAGAGTGTGTGGCGTCACAGCTCACAGCAACCTCCAACGCTTGGGCTTAAACAATTCTCTTGCCTCTGCCACCCAAGTAGCTGGTACTACAGGCCCCTGCTACAACACCCGGCTATTTTTTTGTTGTAGTTGTCATTGTTGTTTCGCAGGCCCGGCTGGGTTTGAACCTGCCAGCCTCGGTGTATGTGGCCATGTGCCCTAACCATTGAGCGTGGGCACCAAGCCAATTTTATTTATTTTAAATTCATTTAATTTTAACATTGAAAGTGTTTGGTGGCTCAACGCCTATAGCTCAGCTGGCTAAGGCGCCAGCCACGTACACCTAAGGTGGCGAGTTCGAATCCCCAGCCCGGACCCGCCAAACAACGACGGCTACAACCAAAAAATAGCCGGGCGCTGTGGCTGGTGCCTGTGGTCCCAGCTACTTGGGAGGCGGAGGCAGGAGACTCGCTTGAGCCCGGGAGTTGGAGGTTGCTGTGAGCTGTAATGCCACGGCACTCTACCCAGGGGGACAGCTTGAGGCTCTGTCTCAAAAAAAAAAAAAAAAAAAAAGAAAGTGTTTGGTTAGCAAAATAGTATGTAAAACAACATAAGGACTATGACATATATAGATTGAGTATGCCTTATCTGAAATGCTTGGAAACAGAAGTATATCAGATTTCAGATTTTTTTTTAAATTTTGGAATAAATTTAAGTTTTAGCATTCCTAATCTGAAAATCTGAACTGCTTCAATGAACATTCCTTTCTTGTCACGTTGGTTCTGAAAAAGTTCCTCATTTTGGATTTTTAGGTTAGAGTTGCTCAACCTGTACTTTTTTTTTTTTTTTTTTTTGCAGTTTTCGGCTGGGGCTGGGTTTGAACCCACCACCTGTGGCAAATGGGGCCAGTGCCTTACTCCTTTGAGCCACAGGTGCCACCCCAACCTGTTTATTTTTATTCATGCTGTGTATGTCGTGATTTTCAGTTAGATCCTTTGGCTTGAATTTAATGAGCATGAGTTAGAACATATTGTTTACATGTGTTTAGAGGTCTTTATGTCCCTCTGAAAATAGAGTACAAAATCAGATAAATTCCAGATATTTTACCTTTTTAATTTTTGTGTAATAGTGATGTTTCAAAGCTTTGATTTTAATATTCATATTAAATATGATATTATCCCTATTCCACCATTATAGCAATATTCTGGGCAAGTAACTGTTCTGTGCCTTAATGTCTTTTTCTGTAAATGGGGATTATAATAATACCTATTATAAAGCTGTAGTGATTAAATGAGATAATAAATGTAAAGCACTGAGAATAGTACTGGGCACATACTAAGCATTCAGGAATAGTTTTCCTTCAGTCATTCAGCAAATACTTATTGTATATTTGCTGTGTCCTATGTACTACTGTAGGCATTGGGGATATAGTAAACCAGCAAAAATATTTGTACTCATGGAACATAGATTCTGCTCCTATTATTGTTACTAATTTTCTTTTTTCTCTCTTTTTTTATATTTTGGCCCTAGAATTTTAAATCTCATGACATGTCTAGGAACCTAGAAAATATAACTTTGTTTCATAGATTCATGTTCCCTCAGTATCTGTGGGGGACTGGTTCTAGGAGACCTCCTGTGGATACTAAAATCTGAGGCTGCTTAAGTCTCTGATAGAAAATGGTGTAGTATTTGCATGTAATCTGTGCACATCCTCCTGTATACATTTAATCATCTCTAGGTTACTTGTAATACCTATTATGCTGTAAATGCTATGTAAATAGTGGTTCTACTATATTGTTTAGGGAATAATAGCAAGAAAAAAGTCTGCACATGGTCAGTGCAGACACGATTTTTTTTCTCAAATATTTTCAATCTGAGATTGGTTGAAATAGATTCAGAACCCAGAGATACAGAGGGCCAATACACATACATAAATATACACACACAGTGGGTACCAAAAAATGTATATACATTTTGAGAAATGGAAAAATTATATTAAATTTGTAATAGTTAAAGTCATTTTTGACTTCTGCAATTACAAGGAGGGCTCAGCATGACTTGTATTCATCTCTTGTTATCAGTGTATATTTTGATTTAAAATTTTAATAAAGTTTTTTTCTTAAGATGTGTATAGTATAATTTTTTTTTATATCCTCTGTATAAATACCATACACTCTGGTGGTTTACATATGGTACTTGAATCCTAAGAGAACAGTTTATCTTTACTATGTTTTGTGACTGAAGACCTTATCCAGAGATTTGGTAGTTTTACTGTGTGCAAATGAGACTGAGTAATAAGCACATAGTTTTAGATAAACTATATCTGTTCATAAACATAATCCCTGTCTGGCAGCATATTACAAACATTTAAGCCTAAGTCAGTTTGATACCACACATGTGTCCAAGTTGGCTAAATCCAATATATAAACAGTTTCAAGTAGTATAAGTTGATTCAGAATAGGGTATATTTTTATATTGGTCAGTGCTTCTTTGATGGGGCAACTTATGTCAAAACATTTAATTATCTTGATAAGGAAGGTACCAAGCACAGCATAAACACAATTAATTACATAAACACATTTGGGAACATTGTTTTATATCTTTGCCTAGTTCTTGGTAGAGCTTTATAGAAAAATGCTTTTAAATTTCTACCAGCGTTGACATATCCATATGTTCCCTTCCTTTCAAGTAAAAAAGTAGGGACTTAAGATTTTCCAATATAACC